ATTCCCTTCCCAATGGGCTCTTCTCCCTCTCCGAGCCCCTCGGGCATGCAGGCAGGGTTCCTCCTCAGTTTCTTTCCTTTTCTTTCTGGGAAATCTCAACACCCACATCTTTCACTGCCACCACTGATGGATCCCATTTCTTTTATTTGATTTTTGTAGTCAATACGTGTTTTGTGTGTGGTTATATTTAATAGTTCTACCCTATCCCGTTCCTGACTTGTCTCTTGCACCAAAGACCTGTGACAGTGAACTGCACCTGCATGTCTCTCAGGTACCTCAGGACTCCAACTCAATTCATCACCATCTTTCTCTAATTCCCGACTAACTGTTGACTAAAGATACCAGCACCCCTCCCCACAAAGAAGGGGAAAACAAGTCACACACTCAGAGCTCCTCTTTGTGCTCCTTCCCCACCCCACTGCCTGGGAGGAAAATGAGGAGGGCAGGAGTCAGGAGGCTGGGGGGGGGCAAGACTAGCCACAGGAGGAATCTAGGGAGCAGCGGAGAAGGAAGGGATCACTTCAGAGGGGCCAGTGAAGGAGCCGGGGTCCTCTGTTAAGGATGCTCCAGTTTCCTGTGTCAGTGCTTGGGTGTAGCTTTGGCTTTATGTGCAGTAGATGCTCAAGAAATGTCCTTGAATTAACAAGTAAGTGAATGCACAAGCCTCCTTATATGAAAGTTAAGTCATAGATGCAGAAAGAACAAGAGAAGCTGACTGAGCCCTGTGCATACAAGAGAGCTGGCTACCATACCTTGGATGATGGCCAGCAGGATGACGATGACGAAGAAGAAGAAGGTAATGTCAAAGACGATGCGGTACATTTCGTAGGGGTCCCCGGCAGGGTCTTCAATTTCATCGCCGATGCCACCTCCAGCTCTCACGCCCACGTACATGTGGAACAGGTAACACTAGGGAAGAAAAATCACGGTGATTCAGGTGTGAGCCACAGCGTTCTGTTTGTTTTTAGGGAGATGGTCAGATCGTGCATGTAGCTAGATCGAAGTACGACAGCCCTGAGGCAGG